AAGAACTGTATCAGTCGTATTACTACTGACGAGTTTTCAGAACACTGGAAAGGGACGGATTTAGCCATGTAGATTCATGCACGCAGCTGAGCCTCCACACACCTTGTTAATGTATGTCTCCCTCCTTCACGCTTAGCTATACAGAAAGCACTTTGTTACAACTGTGAGGCATCTGTGAGTACAAATAAATAATGTGAACTCAGATAATGTGAACTCAGGAGTCAGTGAATCAGTGCATCACTGGTCCAGCTAGCTCAATACCAAGGCTCTGGCAGTGGTCAGGACCCACTGTTTTAAAACAAGGTTGCTGCTCCATCCCACTATATAGATATCTGGCCAATTATGGAACGTTGGGGATAAAGAAGAGGAAATCTTTTCCTTACTCCTGAAGCAATCAGCTTAATCCAGAAGCATGAGATCTGACTAGCTGATATAACCGACTAGCTTATGTAAGTGCAATGCTAAGTCTGATTCAGCCCTTTTTAAAATCCACCCACACTACCCCAATGAGGCTACTAAAGCTGTCGAGGAGACATCATCTGGGCATCACGGGCCGATGTAACCTTGGTCACGCTCAGTAAGAACCGCTGAAGACAGAACCAGGCTTGATTCTCCTCTTACATCAGTGTCACCCTGGCATCATTCCATTGAGGTCAACGGAGTTACTCCAGATTTACACCAGTGTGAGTGGGATCAGAATCAGGTTCTTTGGGCTTCCTGACCTTGGGCCATGGCGTTTGTTTGAAAGTGAGACAACGTTGCCATTAGCAGCGTTCACTTGGAGAGGAGGCATTCCCCTGCCGCTGCGTACCTGCCTCTTAATGCTTACTGGATACCCAAAGCCAGGCATCAATATCAAATGCATTCCTAACTCCAAAAGCTTCAGATACACCCGCCCGCATTCTGGCCTGAAAAACACAGTAATAGGAGGAGGAAGAGCAGAACAGCTCAATTAACCCAGGAACTAGGAGATGGGGATTGACAAGCAGGGGTCCTATTCTCCTGCTGCAGGATCTGAGCAAATACCACTGCCTGCAATGATGATGATGATTATTTGTACTACAATAACACCTAGAGCTTCCAACCAAGACCAGGGTTTCGTTGTGCTAGACGCTGTACAGAGACATTGTAAGAGACCGCCCCTTCACTGAAGACTCTACAGTCTAAATAGAGAAGACAAAGGTTAGAAGAATGGAAATATTAGAATTCCTGTTTTACAAATGGGGAAACTGAGGCAGAGAGCAGTGACATGAATCACCCAGGGAGAAGAGGAGGTACTTGAACCCAGATCTTCTGAGTCTCAGCACAAGAGTCTTTTATACCCTGCCTGGAGAGATCTGGGACCTAAGCTTAGTTATGAGAGAAAGGCTATGTCTACACTACACAGCTTTTAGTGACATGGCTGCATCTCCACAGCCATACCGCTAAAAGTCGCGCCATGTAGCAGCTGTTTATCGGCTCTCCTGCCGACAAAAAACGCCTACCCCCAACGAGCGGCATTTGCGTTGTCGGCTGCCGACAACGCACTGTTCACACTGGCACCTGTCACGGTAAAACTTGTGTCGTTTTTGGGGACGGGGGGTTAACACGGCTGAAGGACAAACGTTTTGTCATTCAATCGCCAGCGTAGACATAGCCAACATTAGTGTGCTGCAGTCAAATACTGCAGTCAAACACATGACACAAAGACACCGCATCGCTCACTGCCGGACAGCTTCAATTTCAGGACTTGGAGGAGAAACAAGAATTATGCTCCACGTTAAGAGATGAGATGCAGCTGCAGAGGTGGATGGGCCAGGGTAGCAAGGTTTGAACTGCAGGTCAGGACTGTTTTAGATACTTCAGCCGAGCTGGGCGGATGCAGGTTGTACAGTTCCTATTCACGCTATACATCACCTCCAGTCAGTGCTATTAGCCCTTTACTTACAGGAGTTCTGAAGTGGCAATGTCCTTTTACTTCGGTTTCCCGCTGTGCTAAGACATGGTGCGCCTCGTGGTGTGAACTGTCGTTAAAAAAATATGCTTCACGATTCATAGTAAAGTGAATGCAGCTGCCAGGCCATGTCAAAGGTAGAAAAGCAACATGACGTGTTGATTGCCCATGATTGCTTGTATTTTTAACGGCCCAGTGCATCAAAAGGAGTAACTGGAGAACATGCGTGCGTGTGTGTGTGTGTGCACGTGCGTGGATGTCAACTTACACATTACACACGTGCACATACATTCTCAGTGTTCACATGGGTGGTTGTGACCCTTGGTGCCAACTTGCAGAGGAAACAGGGTGCATAAGGTTGTACAAGGATCCCTGGGTCAGATATTGGCATAACAGTCCACTGAAGGGTGGCATGTGAGGTCTCTGCTGAGAGTCAGTTTCCCACTTGTCGTCTCAATCACTGCAAAATGTATGGGCGGATAATGTTTAAGGAGTTACGTACCTATACTGAAAATGATGTTCTTCAGGTCTTGGGGTTACGGCAGATCACTAGGAGGTGACGTACCTTGGAGATGTTCCTATCAGGCAGGAAGTAACTGACACCAATCTCCCTGTCTGGCCACTTGTGTATCGAACGCCTATTTGCATATTGAGCCAGGTGCAAATTGAGAGAGTAAAATCTACAAGAAAGGAATTCTACTGGAAGAAACAAATAGCGGCAGGGGGAGGGGTTACCTGTTTTTGAAAAAGACAAAGGATAAGTCTGGTATATTTTGGAGTGCAAAGCAACACATGGAATCCTTCACCTAGGACAAGGATGGGCAAATTTTTGGCCCGAGGGCAACATCGGGGTGGCAAAATGGTATGGAGGGCTGGGTAGGGAAGGCTGTTTCTCCCCAAACAGCCTGCCCCCTGCCCCCTGACTGCCCCCCTCAGAACAACTCCCCCTGCTCCTTGTCCCCTGACTGCCCCCTCCCGGGACCCCCCACCCCTAACCACCCTCCCCGGACCAAACACCCTATCCAAGCCCCCCGGCTCCCTGTCCCCCAACTGCCCTGCCCCCTGTCCACACCCCCTGCCCCCTGACAGGACCCCTGGGACCTCCAACCCATCCATCCCTCCCCCACTCCTTGTCCCCTGACCGCCCCCCTTCCAGGACCCCCATCCCTAACTGCTCCCCCAGGGCCCCACCCTCTATCCAACCCTCCCTGTTCCCTGTCCCCCCCAAACCCTGGGACCCCCCCTCCCAACTACCCTCCCTGCTTCCTGTCTCCTGACCGCCCCGAACCTCTGCCCCATCCAACCGCCCCCTGTGCTCTGACTGCCTCCCGGCACCTCCTGCCCTCCCCCCATCCCCTTACCCTTACCAGGGCGCTCAGAGCGGCAGGATAGGCTTATTGGAAAGCCTGGGAGGTGGGCGGGCACAAGCCATGCTGTCCGCACAGCGGCATAACTGCGGGCGAGGGGGAACAGTGGGGGAGGGGCCAGGGGCAAGCCCCCCCCCGGCCAGGAGCTCAGGGCCCGGGCCAGATGTGGCCCACGGGCCATAGTTTGCCCACCCCTGACCTAGGAGGCAAAGTGACCATATTCACGTCTCATGAAAGAAGGCTCACAGCCAGCGTGGCTGTGAAGCACTGCAGGGACTTTGGGCGAGCAATTCTTTACTAGACAGGAGAGTATCTGGTTAATTAAATCTAGGCTCTAGAGTGCGTGTTTTGATTTGATTTTGTAATCGTTTGTTTCCAAGACTTCTACTTGCTACCATTTGATTCTCTGTGCTTTGTTAAATAATGTTATACTTGACGTCACTATAAACTAATCTAAGTGCTGTAATTTAAGCAGAGCAGTGATCTAATGGGGAACTGGTAAGCTGGGCTGTCCTCTTTCTTTGGAAGCAGCGGATCAATGAATACTGCAAGTGTACAGCGGACCTGGGGCTGGACAGTCCAGGGAGATGCTCGGAGGCCTCCGGGGTCAGACTGTGACAACAGGGCCTGGAAGGCCAAGAGGGGAGGCTTGGGTTTGCCATGACCGGTGCTGTTGGGGAGCACACCCACAACAGGCAGACACACACACACTAAGGGCAGGTGGTAGCAAGATGCCACCCAGCCCTGGGTACTCCCGGGAAGCATCACAGAAGTACAATATTCAGTAGGTTTATGAATACACAGAGAAAAACAACCTGTAAAACAACCCGACAGTCAGAGTTCTAAGCAAAGAGTGAGGTCTAGTGATTAAAGCAGAAGACTGGGAATTGGGATTCCAGGGTTTCATCCCCAGCACTGACTTTGTGTGTATCCTTGGGCAAGTCACTTCGTCGCTCCATGCCTCAGTTTCCCCCTTTGTACAATGAAGGTCATGGCACTGACACTGTGTCTCTGGGGGATAGAGGGGCTTCATTCACTAGTGTCTGTAAAATGCTTCGGGATGCTGGGACAGAAGGGGCTAGCAACATGCAGCGTATTATTTTTATGAATAATAACTCCTCGTCCCTCACCCCATTATGGGAGCGAATCCCTCCTGCTTGCTAAGCAGGAGCTTGGAAGCTGCACCCAGGAAACAAACATCTAAATATTTAAGACTTTGTGTTTATTTAGCCTCTTTCACCCACAGACCTCAAAGATTTTTACAATCATTAATCACTTACACCTTGCAGTGTCCCTCAAAAGTAGGCAAGTGCCAGGATCTCCATTGTACAGTTGAGGAAACTGAGGCACAGCAAAGTTAAGTAACTAGCCCCACGCAAGTTCCATGATGGCCATTTTACACATGGGGAAACTGAGGCACAGAGGAGTTAAGTAACTTGCCCAAGGCCACGCAGCAAATCAGGCAGAGCCCTACACGGATCCTATGAGTCCTGACTCCTGGTGCCATTCCTTCACTACAATTCCAGGAACACTATCAGGAACCAAGGACGAAGGGCAAAGGCTCATAGAGAGAGAAATACACAGGAAGAAAAACTGAGCAATCCCTCCTGTGGCCAGTCCCCTACTGCATTTGAGTGTATCTGTTCTGAACCATCGCAGACGCCCGAAGTCTCCCTGTCCATCTGAAGGCATCCTCTTACCTTTTCCAGACAGGTGCCTCCATGTCACCGTAGGCTCTGGTCTCCCAAAGGCCAGGCACATGAGAGTTACGCTGCTACCTTCGTTCACCGTGATGTCTGATGAGATGTTTATAATCTGGGGAGGAACTAGATGAAAGAGAGAGAGAGAGAGAGAGAATGAGGAGAAATTCATGAGAACTGTGTTTCATCCAATGCTCTGCCATGCACATACACACGGCGGGATCCCTAATGCTTGGCAATCTCAAGCCTTCCACTCTGGTACAGCACGTCTGAAGTGGCTCAGGGCTGAATTATGCAGGTTCAAAGAGATTGGAGCAAACCACATTCCTAGTGCTTCCCCTACTACGCTTGGGACGTCTCTACTGAAGTGTCAATGCAATGCCAGCTGTTCAAAGGCCCTCCTCATGCATGCTGCCCACACTCAGGAGCTACAGCCTCATTCCACAGTCCAAAGCACTGACATATTCCACCATCCCAGAAGAGAATCCTCCTACTTTCCAAGTACCCCTTGTTTCTAAAAGAGACGTGCTGGACACTGGAGAAGCTTGGCCATTTGCATCCAGCTGGTTTGCACATCCCACAGTTTGAAATGCCCTCTCTTTTTGCAAAGTTTTAATAGCATAGAGCAGTCAACTTACTACAACAAAAAAAACACGACACTGCTACCAAACATTGGTCAGTAGAGCATCGAGGGATTAGCTTAAACAACTGAAATCTGTCTGGGCTCATCACATAAAGCACATTTTGTAGTGATCGGAGATGAACCCGAAACAAGCCTCCTGATCTCATCACCATAGAACAAGATTTCACAGCTTGGCCCAGGGGTCTCTTCCTGGCAGAATATAACCCCTTGGGATGCTTTTAGGGCCTGATCTAAAGCCCATCGAAGTTAGTGGAATTTCTATGCACTGTGGATCAGGCCCTTACAGTGCTAGCCATAGTTACTGCCTTTGGGTGGTACATGGGGCCCACAAGCGCTCTGGGTGCTTTGCAGACAGGTGGGAAGACAGGCTTGTGCCCTGCAAGATTTACAGTCTGCAGATGGTGTTTTAAGAAAGGGGAAAGAGATGGAATGGAAGACAAGATTTTCCCTGCCCCTCCCACCCTTTTGCTAATTATGATTTGGGTCTTTTTTTTTCTTTAAATGCTCAGCCCTCTTGCTCTAAGGTGCTGTTCTTGCTGCTTATGAGCCTTGTCCATTTGCTGTTGGGTTTGTAACCCAGGTCTGTAGGCTTTTTAAATGTCCCAACTTGCTTTTTAAATCCTTGTCCATGTCTAGGCGGTTACTGGTGTAGCTCTGTCCATGCAGAGAGTGGGATGGGTTTTTTTTTTTTTTCAAACCACGCCCTACTGATTTGATATGGGACACAGCCCAGGACCTCAGACACCTGGTATCCTCCCTGCCATAGAATGAGTGCTTGGGAGTAGCACAATTCCCCACCCTACCCACCTGAAAATGGAAAGCCTGAGATGGTCTTTTCAGATGACCCTCTCCCCTCCCAGAGCCCCCATCCTCTTCCACCTCCCTCAGCTATTCACAGAGAAAAAGCACTCAAATCCCTTTCAGCTGTTACCTCTAAACCAGCTGTGTGACTCCTTTCTTGCCCTGGGAATTCAGGCCCTGTCTGCTTTGCAGCCTGCCTGCTCCTGGATTCAGTGCCACGCTCCTGTCTGGGAGTCCAGGGCTACAGCACCACCACAAGTCCTAAGGTTGTGGAGACCACCCCAGAAGACCCCTTCTCACAGCCTAGGCATGAGGTCATGCAGGGATTATCCCCATTCCTTCATGATCTGAGCACACCAAAGCCATTCCTTTATTCATCGCTGCCTGGCTCTCTGCAATGAAGTTATGCACCTAACGGCAAACTCATGTCTCACCCAGCAAACACAGCAGCTGGGCACCACACTTCAAAGCTCGTCTGCTTCCAGACCCACCTCTCTCATCAGCAAGCCTAATTTCTGTTTTCCACGCCTCTTAAAGAAACAATGTCCAAAACATTATCCCAGAGAAACCCAAGGCTGAAACCTCTTGATTTAAGGGAGGGCACTGTCAAGTCTTTTAACACTGCCTCTGTAGCTCAAGCCGTAGCAGCTCATGCTTTAAACTCTGGAGGTCACTGGTTCAGTCCCCACTGTGGCAGTTATTAAAGAGGTAGCTGAAGAAAATGGGGCTTGAGCTGTGTGGAATGAATTTTGTAGGGCAGAGTTTTTCAATGTGGGGGTCAGGTGAGGCTGCTGAGAGAGGGGCTGTAACCACCCTGCCCTTTCCATATTGCTGCGGAGGAGGTGGTCCCAGCTAGACCCTGGCTAGATGGGAGGGAAGTCCTGAAGTAGACAAGGCTTCACGGTAGTAACTGGTTCAGTTCTGCACTGCTAATTCTAGGGGATAAGCTGCTACCTACATGTGGTGTCAGGAGCGCCTAGACATTTTGGAGAGGTTATTAATTATGTAGCAATCCAAATAAACAAACAAGAGATTGGCCAGAAAAGGAGCCAGGGAGCTGGAGTGAAGCACTGGACTCAGTTTCCAGCTCGGCCACAGATGCCCTGGCTGACCCCTGGCAAGTCACTCAGGCCAAATTTTTCAGAAGGGGACCCCTGATGTTTTATGCCCAACCCTGAAGCGCCCAAGGGTGCTAAGAACCCACAGCTCCAAGGAACAGCCTGTGAGAGCTGGAAGACCTCTGCCTACCCCCAGGGGTACGCATGCCCCTGGCTGAGAGCCACTCCATGTGAAAATTAGGCCCTAAACTTGGGCAGCCCAAGATGGGGTCCCCCAGACTTAAAGGCCACTTTTGAAAACTGGGGCCTTCATCCTCTTTTGTGAATCCCCAATGTTCAGAAAGGCCAAGAGTTGTACAGAGGAGGAAGCTGAAGCATCATTTGGAGAGAAAGGGAGCGAGTGTGTCTTGTGTGTGTCTTTGGTTTCTGAGCCCTTTTGGGTACCCACATTTCAAGCTTTTCCTCACAACCATGAGGACTGGGGTTTTCTGTTCGAGAGTCCCCACCATAATCCCTTGGTCCAGGCGCTGAGGCTGTAAGTAAATCACCAAATATGGCGAGACTCCCGGTAACATTTTAGGGGGTGGCAATGCTCTCTCTCTCTGGACCTCAGTCTGCCCTTATGGCTCTGCCCACAGGGAGTTGGTGAGCATAACTTCCTTCAAGTTTGTGGGCCCCTCAGACACTACAGCAATGAAGGCAAGCACCCAGCTAACCAGGCAGGTTATTCAAAACGTTCATTTAGGAAAGCTTCATTCTGTGATGCTGCAAAGCAGCGGGTGGTTGGAGGGAAGATCTCCCGCCGTGTGGAGGTTGAGTTCTGACTCTCCCCTCTCAACTGCTGGGAACAGGAAGAATTAGAGAGCTGTTCACAATGCCTTGAATTCGCTCGGGGAAAGATCTTTAGTTTTCAATCCCCACTCTGCTGCTGGCGATATAAAGCCTGGCAGATTTAAAGGATGGCTGACATCTCATGGCAAGCTGAAAAACATCCGACGAGGAAATTATTCAGCCCCCTCCGTCCTAAATTTTCTGTATTTCTCTTCGCTGGCTCTTTATTACAAAGGACACTGGCGTGAAAACGTGTTCTTCAAGGATTCATCTGTGTCTCTGCTGTTTATTCCCCACCTGAAATCATAATCTCCTGTATGCGCCTTCACAGCTGGTTGCTATGGAAGTGATTATGTCCTTGGTATCTTTCGCTCCCACCATAAAGCAGGGGAGGAAGAAGCTAGTTCAAGGAGAGGATGAATGGTCTCTGCCAGGGCAGTACTGAAGTCTGTTAAAGGCACTGTATAAGGAGCATGGCATGACTGAATAGTTTTGTGGTTTATATTTAAATGAAGAAGATTATCCAGGATTACACAGGCCTACATGGAACATAAACTTCCATTTAAGCACAGGTAACTGTGATCCATCCTGCATGGAGGAGGTAACATGTAAGTTCCACAATCTAGCCCTCGCATGGTATGTTATTTGAGACAGGGACTGTCTCTTGAATATGAACTGCTCGTAGCACAGCGGGGCCCTGAGCTTGGTTACACCTAACTCCTAGGAAAGCCAGACTCCTTTGAGGTGGTGAGTCTGCCGATAGGTTTGCATTATGCAGTGCACAGCTAAATCCCCGCCCTTGGGCAGCAGCACCCAGAACCCTGCTGCTTTATATCATGTCATGTCAGCTCAGATCCTGTTATATTTATGATTGCATCTCGCCCCTGTGTTGTATTTTGTGGAGAGAGATGATAGGGAATGAGAACAAATGATTATGAATTATAGGGATATAAATACATGCCATGATGCTGATGACATCACAAACTACTCGCGCTTTGCTCTGGTGGTTTATAATGATTGTTTCCAGAGCATCTCCTGGCACGTTTATTTATAGCCTTATTCACAGTTTCCCTCATCTTAATGTGCACAAGGCATAGAGTCTATTACACACTGAAGAAGAAGGGGTTACTTCTTGCCCATCCTTCCCCTGGCATCTCCCTTGGCTCTCTTTCCAGTGTCCGTTGGGCAAGGTACTGGCTTGATGGCTCCGGAGATTGGAAATCCTCTCCCCCCACATCCTCCCACCCTAACTTGAGTCTTTCTGGTCTGTTCCCTTTTTAGCCTCTGCTGAGCCTGCTGGCCAATGCCTGTCACAGTGGTGCTTTTGTGACATGCACACTCAGAAATGGGCCGAGGATGGCAAATTAATTTCACGCAGGGCAGGCATTTCTGGCCATTAACCTGGGCTGGATCTGGACCACTGACTTAGAGATGAAAGCACCTGTTACCATCTAATGCATGGCCCTACCACCTCACTCCTATTCTATTAGCACCTGCTTGTTCCACTGTCTCACTAACTCCCTCTTGCCCCTTTGCTTTAGTACCAGCTCCTCCTCCTCTTTCTTCAGTCTTGACCCTCTCTTTCCTGCTGCTACTTCTTTCTCTCTCCTTCCCCTACCCTATTATCCCTCTGTGATTCCTTTCAGCTCGTGTGTCCTGCACCCTCCTCTGCCTTCTCTTCGCCCCATCACCCCCCACCCTACCCGCTCCCATTCTGCAGGCTGGAATGGTGATTTCTTGCCAACAGCAGACAGGTGTGAGCAGAGCTGGCGTAGCAGGGATGTGAGAATCCC